TAAAAAACCAGTCGAATTACAAACAAACTTCGGTTCGATTTCGATATTTTGGTTTGGTTCGGTTGCTTTTTTTTTTTTCAATTCCTCTGCACAAAATCAAAATCTAGTTATCAAAATATTCAATGGCCTTTATCAGTTATTTTATGGGCCTAACACGTTTAATCACCAATGGGCCGGTCGAGTTTTCGTTGAAGTCGGTGGTGTTTACAGAAAATCACAAGACGTTCCTTTTTCTGATTTGCCTCGCATAAGAAAAGAGCCATTCTTTAGTCCCTTTCTCTCTCACCAGAGCCTCGTCGGAGATTTTTTTCTCTCTTTCGTTTCGCGGTGATTCCACCGCCGTGTTAAGCTTACCACGTTACCGTCCTCCGTTTAACAACTCTCTCGGTAAACTATTTTTCTGCTTTTTTCTGTTCTTCCCCCTTTTCGATTTCTCACTGTTTTTAATCTTGGATTCAACTTTTTTTAATCTCTTTTCTGGGTTCTTCGATTCGTTTCTTCATCTTCAATCGAGTTTCTAACTCGATCCGTTTTGATTTCCCAACACTAATTGATTTTTTATGTTTCTTCGCTCTGCCATTTTTAGGGTTTCGGCGTGCTTCCGTTCGCATCTCTACTTTCTTTTCGAGATTTCTTTGTTTCTATTCGAGGTGGGTTTGTTTTGAACCCTAAATTTTTATTTTCTGGTTGTTGAAATTGGTGGAATACAAAGTGAATTTAAGGTTAGACCTAGTTTCAAGCTATGAAACCCTAGATTTAGAATCGGCTGCGTTAAGTAGTCTAACGAAATAAACACTTTAGGTATTTGTGAAGTTTATGGATTAAACGTATCTTATCGTGAGGATTGTGTTGCTAGAGTCTTAATGTTGCGCTATTAGATCTCACTTTCACGTTTTTTTCTTTCTGAAGTTTGTTTTCCAGAAAATTTAGATATATCATGTCCTGCGCATTGGGAGATTTTCTAATTTTTTTATTGGTATTCACGAGATTAGGTTTTGTTGATTCCTCTTCTTGTTCTAATTTGTGCTTTTTGTTCCTGATCAATGTAAGCTTTAGGCCTGTGGATTTCTCTCTTGTTTCTGATTATATATTACACTTTTTCCCCAGATAAGTTGCTGCCGGACTCTTTAAATGGCAGACTCAAGGAACGGTAATGCACGAGCTCCTGGTGGAGCGCCTCCAAGGGTTGGGAATAACTACGCCATTGATGTCCCAAGTTTTATCTCACGTGCGAAAGCCTTGTATGCACACTGGCGTGAGCACCGTGCAGACCTATGGGGATCTGCAGACGCTCTTGCTGTAGCTACCCCTCCTGCTTCTGATGATCTGCGCTATCTGAAATCGTCAGCTCTGAATATCTGGCTTCTTGGGTATGAGTTTCCAGATACGATAATGGTCTTTACCTCAAAGCAGATCCATTTTTTGTGTAGCAGGAACAAGGCAGCTCTACTTGAAGTTGTGAGAAACGCTGCACATGCTGAGTTGAAGGTTGAAGTTGTTATGCATGTAAAGCCTAAGGGTGATGATGGGACAGGGCAGATGGATGCCATATTTTGTGCCATCCGTGATCTATCCCGGGGTGATGGAAATGATTCCCAAGCTGTAGGACACATTGCTCGTGAAGTCCCTGAAGGTAAGCTTCTGGAGACATGGAGTGAGAGGTTAAAGAATGCAAATTTCCAGTTTGTAGATATAACTGGGGGGCTGTCTGATCTCTTTGCTGGTAAAGATGATACTGAGATCATCAATGTGAAAAAAGCTGCGTATCTAGCCTACAGCGTGATGAAGAATGTTGTTGTTCCAAAACTTGAGAATGTCATTGATGAGGAAAAAGATGTCACGCACTCTTCCTTGATGGATGTCACCGAGAAAGCGATACTTGAGCCAACGAAAGCCAATGTGAAGCTGAGGGCAGAAAATGTTGATATATGCTACCCTCCGATTTTCCAGAGTGGAGGCAAGTTTGATCTCAAACCTAGTGCTGCAAGCAATGATGAACTGCTCACTTATGATCCAGCGAGCATCATTATTTGTGCTGTTGGTGCACGGTACAATAGCTATTGCTCTAACGTTGCCAGGACTTACCTAATAGATGCAAATTCTCTCCAGAGCAAAGCTTATGAGGTTCTTCTCAAGGCACATGAGGCTGCTATTAGTGCTTTGAGGTCAGGAAGAAAAATAAGCACTGTCTATCAAGCTGCCCTTTCCGTGGTTGAAAAAGAAGCCCCTGAGTTGGTTGACAAGCTAACTAAATCTGCTGGGACTGGTATCGGTCTTGAATTCCGAGAATCGGGATTAAATATTAATGCAAAGAATGATAAAGTGTTGAGGCCACAGATGGTCTTTAACGTGTCTCTTGGTTTCCAGAACTTGGAATGTGAGTCGGAAAGCCGCAGCAAGAACAAGAAATTCTCACTTTTACTGGCTGATACCGTCATTGTCAAAGAACAGACTCCGGAGATTTTGACTAAGTGCTCCAAATCTGTTAAGGATGTGGCCTATTCGTTCAAGGAGGACGAAGAAGAAGAAAGGCCGAGGAAGAAACCAAGGTCCAACGGTCCTGGTAACTACATCACCAAGACAGCTCTTAGATCAGATGATCATGTGGTGTCAAAAGAAGAGCTACGGAAGCAGCACCAGGCAGAGCTTGCACGCCAGAAAAATGAAGAAACCGCCAGAAGACTTGCTGGTGACAGGTCCGGGGGTGGAGACAGCCGGTCTACTGGAAAGACTTCAGCTGATTTGGTTGCCTACAAGAATGTTAATGACGTGCCTCAACCTAGGGATTTGATGATCCAGATTGATCAGAAGAATGAGGCTGTATTGTTACCCATCTATGGTAGCATGGTTCCGTTCCATGTGGCTACAATAAGAACAGTATCAGGCCAGCAAGATACCAACCGGAATAACTACATCCGTGTCATTTTCAACGTCCCGGGTACGCCCTTCAGCCCTCATGACTCAAACTCTTTGAAAAACCAGGGGGCGATCTACCTCAAGGAAGTTTCATTCCGGTCCAAGGATTCAAGGCATAGCAATGAAGTGGTTCAGGCGATTAAGACCCTGAGACGGCAAGTCAATGCCCGGGAATCAGAAAGACTCGAAAGGGCGACATTGGTGACCCAAGAAAAACTTCAGCTTGCTGGAAACAAGTTCAAACCCCTCAGGTTGTCTGAGCTGTGGATCCGTCCGCCTTTTGGTGGTCGCAAGAAGATTCCTGGGACACTCGAAGCTCATGCCAATGGTTTCAGATATTCAACAACTAGGCCCGACGAGCGCGTGGATGTCCTGTTTGCAAACATAAAGCATGCCTTCTTCCAGCCAGCTGAGAAGGAGATGATTACCCTCCTGCATTTTCACTTGCACAACCACATCATGGTAGGAAACAAGAAAACAAAGGACGTCCAGTTTTATGTGGAAGTGATGGACGTTGTGCAGTCTCTAGGCGGTGGAAGGAGATCAGCCTATGACCCAGACGAGATTGATGAAGAACAGCGGGAGCGCGATAGGAAAAACAAGATCAACATGGATTTCAATCATTTTGCAAACCGAGTCAACGATATGTGGCAACTTCCCCAGTTTGCAAGTTTGGACCTTGAGTTTGATCAACCTCTGAGAGAGCTTGGTTTCCATGGTGTCCCGCACAAGACATCTGCATTCATCATCCCGACCTCCAGCTGCTTAGTAGAGCTCATAGAAAACCCGTTCCTCGTGGTCAGTCTGAGCGAGATTGAGATTGTGAATCTCGAAAGAGTGGGGTTTGGGCAGAAGAACTTTGACATGGCCATCATCTTCAAGGACTTCAAGAAAGATGTTCTCAGGGTTGACTCAGTTCCTACAAGTTCTCTGGAAGGGATAAAGGAGTGGCTCGACACTACCGATATAAAGTACTACGAGAGCAAACTGAATCTGAACTGGAGACAGATCCTGAAGACAATCACGGATGATCCTCAGAGCTTTGTAGACGATGGAGGATGGGAGTTTTTGAACCTGGACGGAAGCGACTCAGAATCTGGGGGCTCTGAGGAGTCAGACAAAGGGTATGAGCCGTCAGATGTAGAGGTGGAGTCTGAGTCAGAGGATGATGCTTCAGAGAGTGAGTCACTGGTTGAGTC